GGGCATTTCCTCCAGCTGTATTCTGGTGTCGTCACAGCGAAGTCCACCCAGAGGATAGAGTAGCATTATGCCCTGTATATGTTGACCACTGCCGTGTCTTCAGGGAAGTGATCGATGACGATAATCTTCCACGTCCAGCTTAGGTTCTGGCTGTGGTGTGGAGCGAGGGGAACTGGAAAACATCTCTTTCTGCGAAGCAGTCATAGTAGCAAGAACAGATCGCCGCCCAGAACCAAACCTGTACCTGTAAGGCGCGTGGCGTTACGCGCGTGCTTCAAAGTGCAGATCAGACCGCCTTAGATCGAGATGGCTCAGCGGGACAGATGCCCGACTACTATGAATAACCTAGTGGGTCACCGGGGCTTCGGCTTGAAGCAGAATTAGGAACGTGTTGGTTTTTAGCCAGTAAGAGTCCCCCAGGTGGAAAACGCAATGCATGATTTTTACCCTCAAAAAAAATATAGGCGCGTCACATCAAATTGATTTAGACATTTTCCGCAGAGATTTAGTTAATATCTGTTACGACACGCAGTTCGCTATAAAAAAACTGTGATATCAATGCAAATAATGCGTTAGAACCTTATGTGTCGAAAACAGTTACTACTTCGAAAAGTACTACACATGAGCCCATTGTCCCCAATCAAGGAAGGCATTTTTTTTAATACTTCTAAATATATTTTTTGATTTTTTTTTGCTGATATTAGTTTGTGGGCGTCATATCATTGAGTTAATAAAGTTTTTTTTATTAAATTATGTGTAGTTTGTATTTGGTCCCAAATGGGTTAATTACCTAAACAGATGGACTATAGACACCACTGACAAACAGTGAAGGGAGCTATAGTGAGAAAACCTATTGGACTTATAATTCCTGATTGTAAATTTGAAATTGTCAACCTGCATTGAGCAAGCGTGGTGATTAATGCTAAACCTTTTCCGTGTGGAAAGAGGCCTTTGGGCAGCAGTGGACACTTATAGGCTGTGGATGATGATGATGTAATGGACAAAATATAATTAAAGTATTTTTTCCAACTATGCTTTTTTTTGGACAAGCCCGCCACAACCTCCCAAAACCGCTGCAACTCCTGTAAGCCAGGATCTACAGTAGATACAACCATGAAAACACCGAAACACTAAAGTTCAGCGCGTCCCAGGGACATGAATAACTGTCTTGGTTCCCGCAACGAAGTGAATCAGAAGGATATTATAAGAGAAGAAAAATGTTTTTTTTTTCTTCCAACTATTCTTAGTGAAATATTTATTATACAGGCAGAATAATGTCTACATACCTAAATAATTTATTCTCGTTCCAGTAGGATTTTCGGGAAACCTTTGGATATCCTATCTGTCTCCTGGTTCTTAACTATCTCTCCAATTTTTAGCCTAATCAATTTAGCCGTTTTCGAGGTATACATAGTGTTAACGAACACGACTTTTCTTTTGTATGTACATTCTATATACTATATCTATAATACAATCTATTATTTACATTTGATTTGACATTTTCATTTGTCAACACTCCAAACTAAGTTTAATGTGTGGGAGTGTCATACCTCTGCACGAATTAGCTGACTCGAGCGCAGTGATACCACGGCCTCACAGAAAACCGACGTGAAACAACGCTTGCGTTGTGTTTCGTCGAATGGAGTGAGGTAACCAGTGGCCCAATTATCCCCTCCCCTCTTCTCCAATCCTCAAATCCCCATCCACCTCCTTAAATTCCATCAATCCTCAAATTCCTAATCCTATAAGGTGGTGTCTTAGTTGTCCATGGGCGGCGCCGATTGCTTACCATCAGGTGATCCGTCTGATCGTTTAATAAGCCATAAAGAAAACTCTAAACTGTTGTTTAACATTTAAAAAAACCTAAGCATTTTTGCTTTGTCAGACGTCAAAATTGTAGTCAAGACTATCCTTTGTTTAACAGATTCGCTTGCAACATCTTAACTGCTGCATTTGCATTTTAATACGTGCATATCTCTCTATTCTTACGACGCATATTTTAATTTTATAAAACAAGCATGCATTACGTGACTCAAAAACAAAAGCCTATCATCAAATAAAACGAGATGTGACTATTGAAAGATTTCTATCTGAACGTCTGACCCTGGTCCTGAGAAGAATCTAGATAAGGCTTAATGTAATATTTATATAAATATCGGAATTTTATCGAAAGGAAATCATTCTTGTACTGAGAGCGGAGGAAAGATCATTATATAGGTTGTTTGGTTACGAAGTCAACATGGTGTCGTCCGTTGTGTTTGTGATACAGATTTGCTTGATACAGGTTGGTTCATTTTGCATTATTTTATAACTTATGTTTTGTCTGCTCGGTTGGTGTAGTGGTTGGGCAACTGGCTGCCACGCAACGTGTGGCAGTTTCGATTCCCGCACGGAACAACTCTTTGTGTGATCCACAGAGTGTTGTTCTAGGTCTGGATCATGTGAACTTGTATGTTTGTAAATGCACTCACGATACAGGAGAAAATCCTGGAGTGGGGCAACGTATTAAAATAACTAACTCACATAAAGTATTAAGCGCATTTTAACAGTGTAACAGTGAAGTAGGACAGTGAAAAAGTATACAAATAAATAGACATTTCTTTACGTTAATAACTAAATCAGCTTTATTTATTTAATTGTAACTTTTAGAAATATGAAAAAAATAATATATACATTTAGAAACAGTTAAACTTATAGAGGAACTTAATTAATTAAATAATAAAATAAAAACTGCGTTTAAAAAACCGACTTCATAAAACCAAAAACTAATAACAAACAAAAAGTCAAAATTAAAAAGCAAAAAATAACTATTATTAGTACTGACTGATAGGTTACCCACCCACTGATAGGTTAGAAGTCGGTAACATGGACGTCTAAAACAGTCTCAGATAGTCACAAAAATAATATCGAACAGTGCATTTTCAGACATTTCTAATTCGATATTTCATTTGATTTCAGTATGCATTCAGTCAACCATCAAATGTACCAGCGATGACCAACATTGGCCAAGTTGGTACCAATGCTCGTAACACCCCTTTGGAAGGGCTAGGGCTGTTACCAAGATTGGATCCTGCCCTAGTCAAAACGTTAACGAAGGGTCCAGTAGCATGCACCCTGTTACCTATACTAGAGCCTGGCCCTGTCAACACATCAACAAAAAACTTGGGTACACCCAAAACTGCCATGCCAAGAACACCTTCAACTGAAGCTCGCAACGCCCAATTAGAAGGTATTCTACCCACACTGGAGCCTGGTTCAGTCATCGACACAGCGAAAAAGATTCCAGGAGTATCAAATCTGTTACCAATTTTGGAGCCTGGCCCTGTCAGCATATCAACAAAAAACTTGGGTATGTCTAAAACGGTCATGCCCAGAACACCTTCAACTGAAGCTCGTAACGCCCAATTAGAAGGTATTCTACCCATACTGGAGCCTGGTCCAGTCATCGACACAGCGAAAAAGATTCCAGGAGTATCAAATCTGTCACCAATTTTGGAGTCTGGCCCTGTCATTTCTACATCAACAAAAAACTTGGTTATGCCCAAAAATGCCATGCCCAGAACACCTTCAATCGAAGCTCGGAACATCCAATTAGGAGATGAAATTACCTCTCAAGGATCTGGCTTAGTCAAAGATACGCTAGCCAAAGTACCTGGCGTACCTAAGACCCCAATCAACCCTTATAAACCTTTATTGGCAAATAACAACGCTTTCATGAACCCAAGCATGGCAAACATTGGTTTAGGCATCGGTGTCTCAAGACAAGCGGTAAATGGAGCTCGCAATGTCCAAGTAAAAGGTCAATTACCCATATTGGAATCTGGCCCAGTCATTGAAACATCAACGAAGGTCCCAGTAGTACCAATCCAACACAACACTTACGGTTCACACATAGTACCAAACAGTAACGATTTCATGCTAACCAACTTGGGTATTTCCAAAACTGTCATCCCAAGAACATCTACAAATGGAGCTCGCAACATCCAAGTTGAAGGTCAAATTACAAGTCAGGGATCTCACATTGTTAAGGACACTTTAGCAAAGGTTCCTGAGGTGCCTAAGAATCCGATTAACCCATATAAATCCTTAATGGCAAACAACAACGCTTTTATGAACCCAAGCATGGCAAACATTGGTTTGGGCATCGGTGTGTCAAGACAGGCTTCCAACGGAGCTGGTATGCCAATGCCAAGCCAAAAGTTTAATGGAGCTGGGATGCCAAAGGTGGCACAAGGCCAATGGTCTGGCACTGGCGCAGTAGCTGGCGTCAGTGACGAATTGCCAATGATGTGGCAGAATTTCCGTAAAACGTCGCGCACCAATAACTGGTAAGGGGTTGTTTAATGCCAAAGTACCGTTTGGCGACGACATCACAATTACTGGTATCTGTGCCAAAGTATGGCGACAAACCCTATAGATATTAAGTTTAATTTATTTTCGAATATTATTTATTTATATTTTGTAACTATTTTTATTTTAATAATAAAGTATTTTTCTTAACTGTTTTTTTAAATAATATGCACATACAACGTTTCTGTTTTATATGCATCCCTGTAGACTTTAGTAAATGTTATAATAAAATGCTAGTCAAATTGAAGTGACTAGAAGAACCAATGTAACATAACATCACGCCTTTTGTCCCTGAAGTGGTAGGCAGAGGTGCACATTACGGCACTGCCTACAACAATATAACACCCACTTTCCACTATTTATGTTAAGAGTCCCATGTAATAGGGGGTGAGCCTATTGCCATATACGGGCACATTTCCAGACTCCGTGCTACTACTGAGGTTTTTTTTAAAAAGCCCAGTAATACTTTACCCGATCCCGGAATTGAACCCGAGACCCCTTGTCTGGTAGTCGCACTTGCGACCACTCGGCCAACGAGGCAGTCAATATATTACACAAATTACAACATTCACAATCTTATCATTATGAATATAAAATGTTATTACAAATATAGCATAATGATATTTCCTCGAATAATTGTCAATAATTATAACACAAATTGACAAATGCAAGATAATAATTCATGTAATATTTTTATATAAAATGTACAGGAAGCTATTGAAAATTATCATTCAATTGATTTGTCGAACAGTCAACACTACTATAAAAAACAAATATGGCCGCCAAGATCGTTCTTTTGTTCGCTTCAGCTCTTATAATGAAGGTAAGAAATAGTGTCTTTAAAATATTCTACTTTAGCATTTTTATAACATAACATCACGCCTTTTATTCCCGAAGTGGTAGGCAGTGGTGCACATTATGTATGTACAATGTAACACCCATTTTCACTATTTATGTTATGAGTCCCATGTAATAGGGGGTCAACCTATTGCATATACCGGGCACAATTCCAGACTCTGTGCTACTACTGAGATTTTTTTTAAAACCCAGTAATACTTTACCCAACCCGGGTATCGACCCCGAGACCTCTTGCCCGGCAGTCGCACTGGCGATCACTCGGCCAACGAGGCAATCTTGTAACAATAGGCTCACCCCCTATTATATGGGACTCATAACATAAATAGTGAAAAGTAGGTGTCACATTGTACACTGGCATTGTATGCCAGAATGTGAACCTCTGCCTATCCCTTCAGGGATAAAAGGCGTGATGTTATGTTATGTTACACGATTTTCATTTCTTTTTTGTGATCTTAATTTATTGTTAAATCTCTTTTTCTCTTTTCCAGACCATTTCTGCTCAAAGCATCGGTGTAAGTTGTTTAAATGGGAATGCTGTTGTGGCTGAAGAGTTAGCTTTGGGTCGGGCATTGGGAGCTGGTCCTTTCGCCTATCCAGGACCCAATGCTTATGGACTGGCAGGCAATGGCTTTGTACCAAGCAACGGTGGTGGATTCGCAGTGAGCAGCTTCTCTCCCATTACTCCAACTGGCATCACAGTCATCTCGGAGAATGCTATCGAAGGTGCTTTAGCCGTGAACGGTGAGCTGCCGTTCTTAGGAGCCGTGGCAGTAGAGGGCTCTCTAGCCAGCGCTGGAGCTGGTGGTATTAACTACGGTTGCGGTAGCGGCGCTGTTGGTATTGTAAGCGAGGGAGTTGCTCCTGTCGGTACCACCGGTCCATACGGTGTCGCTCCTGGCGGTAGAGTCTATGGACCTTCTCTGCCTGGTTACGGTGCTCCCAACTTTGCTCTCAACGGTCTTCCTGCGCCCGGTTGTGGTTACAACGGAGTTTTAGGTTATTAAATTGTTAAATAATTTGTAATTGTTGTTTTGTGAGTATTTTGTTAATATAATTTTGAAATTTTACATTTGGATTTTGATTTTTTGAGCATGTCTAGTCTGCTTATTTTTTGAGTTTAGGAGCTGAAATATCTGCAAGCATACACAACGTGAAATCTATACTTGCCATAAAGAGTACTTTCGATGTAGGTATGAAGTAAAATAGAAAAATAAATATGTAATTTTGTTAGTTTAAAAAAAGCATCGTATGCACTTTCGAAGTTTGCTTTTTGCAATGGTTCACCAGATATTTTTTGTACCAATAGGTATTTGTACCAATAGGAACTTAATAAAGTTCGATAGGGTTCGATTCTCGGTTCAAGCATAGTATTAAAAGGTTTTTTAAAAAAAACTCAGTAGTAGCACGGATTATGGAATTGTGCCCGGTGTATAGCAATAGGCTCACCCCCTATTACATGGGTCTCATTACATAAATAGTGAAAAGTGGGTGTTACATTGTGCAGTGGTATAATGTGCACCTCTGCCAACCCCTTCGGGGATAAAAGGCGTGATATTATATATGTATGTAATCAAATTAGAATCAATTATGGTTTGCGTAACATCACAAATTACTATTACCTAATGTAGGCGTGGAATCTCAAACGAATTATGTATAAAATCTATTTTGAATTTTTTTTAAGAAACTACGTGGTTTTTAACGTGAGTGTGTCGTGGTTGCGTCTACTACAAACAAATTCACATGCACTCTTCGAACCAGCGACACGTTGCTAAACAGCCAGTTGCCCAGTCAGTGCACCAACTGTACAGTGACAATCATCTAGTAATTGGTGTTTTGTTTTTATAATAGCTATTGTGAGACTAGTAAATTGACTAAAAATCGCGGGTTACTCACGTGAATATACTGAGAAAAGCTCTACTAGTTTCGAACCACAGAGGGGTTCTTCGTTATGAGCAGCGCGGTCGCGGCGATGTCGCGCAGCCTACTTGCGTCAGTATATTCACGTGAGCAACCCGCGATTTTTAGTTTAAAGGTGTTTTATTAATAACATTTCACTCATCTTACATTGCGTCGCTTTATCTATAGAGATTAATAAAATTGGAGTATCTGTTTGTAATATTAAAATAACCGCTTATGAATATACTTACGATACACATACCAAAATATTTAGATTATTATATATTAATATTTCTAGACCGATTTTGCAAGACTGTTAATGGCAGGTACCTGATGTACCTACTAAGGACTAACATGGGCTACTTTTATTTTGGAAAATTGAAACAAAAAAAAACATATTCTACGGTAGCGAATTCGCGGGCAAAAGCTAGTTAAAATTTAAAAGTATGCTGACACTCGCATTGACAGTCGTAAGCCACGCGCGAGTGTCAGCATTTAAAACCTATCGTGCAATAAAAATACCTTCTCTTTTCTAATCACCAATTTATTTCTCCTCGATTTCTATTGTTCAATTTAACAAATATCTCAATCACAATTACAATCATACAACCAGGTAACGTCAGTACAGCTAACTAATACTCAACTGCGCTCCCTTGCGTCCGAACAACGACTGCCTTAATATTAACATATTCTAATCAAAATGACATTTACCCACTCCACCCAGTATTAACGGCGTTGCGTCATATCCGCCATTTTATAGGTTTTAAATGTAGATATTACAATTACTTAACAATCTCATTATTTTTAATACTTTGATAGAATTACAATACAAAATATATATGTATACTTAATTTCTTTAGTTTTCGTTAAATGTTTTTGAATAATTAGAAGCAATCACAACACTCGGCCATCCGACAGCGTGCTAACTCCGAAGCACGCAATAATCACAACACTGAATACCAGCTAGACAAAAAAAAAATCTACCAAATAATAATAACAACAGAAATAACAACAACAAAAATAATAACAACAAAAGTAATAAAAATAATATCAACAGAAATAATATTAACAAAAATTAATTACAATGATTAAAATAGTCGTAAATATATAATTGCGCGTAGAAACCATTTGTATAATAAGTTTTAATCATACTCATTATTCGTCTGACTGTGAGCTATCACTGGATTCCGATACTTCACACTCTGAACCAGAAGATTTATCAATTCCCAACGATTGGATGTGAATCCAAGGACGCATCCTATCTGCAGCGACAACACTATCATATTTTCGTGCCTTAAACCCTGGCATGCTAACGATTTCGTATCTATCATTACCTAAACACTTTTCTACTTTATAAGGACCTACAAATTTAGGAAGTAATTTCTTACTTTTCCCGTCATTGTTATAATTTGTTTTTGTGACTTTTACCAAATCACCTACCGAATAAACGTGGGCAGGCGATCTGTTAGAGTCATAAGCATCTTTCATACGTTTTTGACTTTTAGCAATGTTAATTGAAGCGTCATGTCTTATTCCGTTAACATTCGAAGAAATAGGGGCCTCTACTTCGTGTACATCACTTGTAACATTGGCATCACTGCCAGTTGTTAACATATTATCTAGAGGACCATTAAGTTTGATACCGAAAAGTAACTCAGATGCACTTTTTCGTGTTGTTGAATTAACCGTGTTGTTAATACCCCATTGCACTTTACCCAGTTGCATATCCCAGACACGTTCATCTTTGCTAAAATTTTGTGTAGACAGCGCCGTTAGAATAGTCTGGTTAAACCTTTCCGCTTGACCGTTGGCTCTGGGACAAGCAACTGCGTTAAGCACATGTTTAATTCCTTTGTTAGTACAAAAAACCTTAAATTGTTTTGAAGTAAACGCTGTTCCACGGTCTGATATAATCCTAACTGGCACTCCGAAATCATTAAAAATGTTATCAAGAATTTTGATGACGTTTTTAGTTTTTGTATCTTTAACTGCTCGAGCGAAAACGTATTTGGTAAAAGCGTCAACTATTGTTAGTATGTAACTATTGCCACACTTACTGCGCACAAATGGCCCTAAGTGGTCTAGATGAAGCGTATGGAATGGTATAGCAACTTTTTCAATTGGATACAAAAGACCATTACGTGTATTCGCGGCGTTATCTTTATTATAAGCACAATCGATGCATGCTGCAACATATTTCTTTACAAAACGTCTTAATTTGGGAAACCAATACTGGCTTTGGATTCGCTCAAGGGTTTTTGTGTAACCAAAATGGCCTAGATCATCGTGATTGGCCTTGCAAACCTGCCACCTAGCATTTTTGGGAATGACTAACCGCGTTGAATCTCCTACTTTTCTATGTAAAGCATGATTTTTCATGACATAGTTTTTGCGAATTTCCATGGTATCTTGGTCAGTATTTGGTTTTAAAATCTTAACAATACGCTGTAGCTCTAGGTCGGCCATTTGCAAGGTAAGTATCCAGTTTTCTGATGAAATATTAAGGGTTTTCACACTGCTAGGTAATGTACTTATTTGAGGATTTCTACTAAGAGCATCAGCATGCCTCATTTTAGAACCAGGACGGTATTGTATGTCGAAGTCGAATTCGCTAATTTGTAGCCACCATCGCGCAATACGAGAAATTAAATCTTTTTTAATCAAGGTTGTTCTAAGTGCATTGCAATCCGTGTAAACAGTAAATTTAAGCCCTAATAGAAACGGTCTAAATTTCTTTAAGGAGCAGACCACTGCCAGCGTTTCCAACTCGTAAGAGTGTAAGTGACGTTCGTCTGGGCTAGTCTGTCTGCTAAAATATGCTACAGGCTTTAAGGATCGAGGGTTCTTTTGCCACTGCATTAATATGCCCCCCAAACCTAGACAGCTAGCATCTGTATGTAGCTCGGTTTCCAGTGCAGGGTTATACAAAGCGAGCAAAGGACGTTCTATCAACTTCTTTTTCAAAGTTAAAAAGGAATCCGCTTCTTCACGCTTCCACTTCCATGGTACATCCTTCTTTAGAAGATTAGTTAGAGGTCTAGCGATTTCACCAAACCCTCTCACAAATCTGCGAAAGTAACCAGCTAGCCCGAGAAATTGGCGTACCGTGTGGATGTTGCTTGGGACCGTGAAATCTCTGACAGCAGCTATCTTTCTTTCACTGGGCTTAATACCCTGAGCAGAAACTTCATAACCCAAATACTCGATAGTGTTGTCAAAGAAACTACATTTTGATAGTTTTAAGGTCAAGCCGGCATCGCGAAGTAACTCTAAGACTTCCTCGAGTCTTTTAAAGCCTTCTGCCATGGTAACACAAGGTATAAGGAGATCATCCATATAAGCAAATACGGAATCAAATCTCTTAGAACCCAATAATCTATTTATCATTTTCTGAAATACGGCAGGTGCGTTTGCCAGCCCAAACGGCATACGCTTAAACTCATAATGGCCGTCTGGGGTGACAAATGCACTTTAACAAATATCTCAATCACAATTACAATCATACAACCAGGTAACGTCAGTACAGCTAACTAATACTCAACTGCGCTCCCTTGCGTCCGAACAACGACTGCCTTAATATTAACATATTCTAATCAAAATGACATTTACCCACTCCACCCAGTATTAACGGCGTTGCGTCATATCCGCCATTTTATAGGTTTTAAATGTAGATATTACAATTACTTAACAATCTCATTATTTTTAATACTTTGATAGAATTACAATACAAAATATATATGTATACTTAATTTCTTTAGTTTTCGTTAAATGTTTTTGAATAATTAGAAGCAATCACAACAATCGCTTTGTACCAAATTCCTTACATGCTATACCGTGTTACCGCGACTAATGTTACATTGGTGTAATGCATCAATAATGTACTCAGATTTAAATTACCCGTCGGACGTCATCCGACGTGGATCTGCGGACGTCGCACGTAGCAGAAGCAGCATTTAGAGACCTATCACACCTACCTGCCTACCCCCAGCGACGGCTCCGAATAACATCAAGGACAGTTACCGGAGATATAGAAATCGACATACGGCCTTTGATCCCATCCTTGGGATATTGTCTTTTTTTAATACAATCTTGTTAACGGATTGAGCGTCTTTGTTTTATTTAACAATACTTGACCGTTACATTTTTTTATATATTTGATGGACAGACATTTGACCACTATCTCGCCTGGTGTTAAGTGTTAAAGTTGTGCCGGCGTAAGGGCCACTGACACCCCGGGCGAAAATATTGTGGCGCCCACGTGAGGGAAGAAATCAAGTGTTAGTTTTTTATTGATCCCAAGTAAAATTATATTACGAATTTCATCTTTCCTTTAGCGTTACCCAGAGCTAACATTTTGTAGCTCCTCTTTTTTTAATATTTTTAACTTTTACGCATTTATTGTTTTTTTTATAAGTATATTATTTATGTATTTTTTTATATTGCTAGTATATTATATCTATTGTAGGTTGTATTGTAGGTATTTTTATTTTGTCTTTTTTTATTGTACACTTAACTACCCCTTATCTGGTTTTTTACAAATATTGCCATCCAAAGGTTGTCTGGAAGAAATCACCATTGTGTGATAAGACCGACTTAAATGTGTACAATAAAGCTTAAAATAAATAAAACCTTGTTATGCCCATAATTAATGTATACATCACTATAATAATTATGGTGCACAGTGATTCAAACAGAAACCAAAAAATGTAAGTAAATGAGATTTTTTATTTCCAAAATCCATGAAATATTTAGTCAAGTGAGCCGCAACCACATGAACACTGTCCAGTGATAGACACGGAGCCAACAGCAGCTACAGGTCCGCCGAAGCTCACAGCGCCCATGATGGGGACCTGACCAGCGATAGCAGTAGTACCGGAGACTGGCAGCTCACCAAGGACCGCTACGTTGCCTTCACCGGCGCCGCCGTAAGCAGCACCAGGAGCGATAGCACCACCGTATGCAGCAGCAGGAGCAAGTGCGCCACCATAAGCAGATCCGATGGCGCCAAGACCGAGAGCACCAAGACCGAGAGTACCACCACATGGAGCAGCAGGAGCGACCAGGGCAGGAGCAGGAGCTAAAGCTGGGGCTCCACACCCGCAGCCAACACCGCCGAGGTACTGACCGAACACTACCTGGACCAAGCAAGCTTGGATGCAGACCAACAGAACAGCGAACCTAGACATGTTTGATGTTCGTTTGTTTTCAACGAGAAGCTGAAGACTGAATAATGAACTGTAAACTATACGAACTATTTATATTGCTAGGCAAAGTTCACATAATCTGCATACGTGACTGTGCAAAAATAGTCGCAATATTGATTGCAAAAATATTGCAAAAAGTGTTCTATTACGATGGATGAAGGTTGGAATATAGTTCTGATAACATAGTGTATATAAAGTCTTTTGCAGGTGTGCAGAATATCATTCGGGCTTCAACACTTAAAACAAACTAACTACGATGGCTACCAAAACAATCCTTTTTGTTTGCGCTAACGCTCTCTTCATTCAGGTCAGTATAAATTATTTCAAGTGATTTGGAACAGCTGCAAAGTTTTAGTCAGCCTCATCCTCTATTATTTCCCAAAAAAACAGCACATGTACTATTTACTACCTATATATCACTTTTGTACTCTGAATATATGCTTTGGGAATGTTTGGCAAGTGAGAGCCTTTCAAAGAGGTTCTCAACAAACATTGTCGTTTGTTGGCTGTGCTTATTGTTTTTATCCTGGTCATTAAATACACGATTTCCATAATCTGGTATCATGCCCCTATATTGTTTAGTTGTAAACTTGATAAAACTTATCGAATAATTGTTACCGAGTTAGTAATGTAATGTGTCATCAATACTTAAGCAATTAATATAATCTTTATTACAACATTTCGAAACAAGCTTGCATTTTTATTTCCAGAGTGTATTCAGTCAGTGCCTTGGTCGTGCAGCTATCCCTGCTCCTGCCTTACCCTGCCCTGCTGTTGTTGCACCGAGCTGTGCTGATAACGGTGTGATTGCTAATGGATGGCTCGGTAACGGCCTGATTGGTGCTGAATGGATCGGTAACGGTCTGGTTGGTAATGGATTGGAAATCGTCCCCACCAGTGGCGGTGGACTGGCTGTGAGCAGTACCTCTAGCATCGCTCCCAGCGGGCTCTCGCTAGCGTCTGAGAATGTGTTTGAGGGTCCTCTGTCCGTGGCTGGTGAGCTGCCGTTCGTGAGTGCTGTGGCTCTGGAGGGCGCGCTGCCCAGTGCTGGTGCTGGCGCCGTCAGCTACAGCTGCGGTAACGGTGTCACTGCTATCGAGAGCATCGCTCCTTCTGCTGCTGCTGCTATTGTTCCTGCGGTAGCAGCTGGAGCTCCTGCTGCTGCTTATGGCGCTGCAGCACGCTATGGTCTCACTGGCTATGGACTGGGTGCTGCTGGTTTTACTCCAAATCTTATGTACCCTGGTATCGTTGGTCGGGAGTGTGGATGCGCTTAAGCTCTGCTTTGATAAATTCATATCTGATAATATCGAATGATTTTTATAATAATTATCGTTAGACTTACTAAATTAGCTAAAAATCACTGGTGACTCACGTAAGAATATTGAGAAAAGCCCTACAAGTTTCAATCAGTAGGCTGCGCGACATCGCCGCGACCGGCATTTTGTTCATAAACAAAAACCCCTCTGTGGTACGAAACTAGTAGAGCTTTTCTCAGTATTTTCACGTGAGTAACCTGCGATGTTTACTTAACTTCTAATGAATTGAAAATAAAATGGTAATGCAACAACCTCAACTTTGAATATTATTTCATTCCCCTTATTCATTAAATCTGCGTGTTGTAAGTACAACAATATTAAGAACATATCAAATAATTATCAGTGGCGTGCAGTCCATATAGGCAAAAAGGCTTTGCTTGAAATAAAATATACAAACGCGTTTATTAAGATTCAATAATAAAATAAAAGTTTGTAAAAAAACGGCTAACATAAATATACATTCACATATACTATACACGGACCGCACGCCTTTGTAAAGCAATGAATGCGCCCCGCACGCACCACGCATGCGCTACTATTCCTTAAATCTTGGTTGTTGGTTGTGACGTCACAAAAAGTATGCAACGCGCATGCGTGAAGGTCACGTGACTATGGTCACAGCAGAGAATAACCATTCATAAACGCAAAAAAGTCATTGCTGCCGGCCTTTGAAATTTATGAATCTGCGCCATCTATTGAATTTTTTGTTAAAACTTCTGAACACGTTCGATATAATGCGAATGTCTTTTTATAATTATGCATACTAAAAAAATATGTTTCAGGTATTTTAATTAAATCTTAACATTTTTACGCGTTGTCGGTTTATAGAAACTTTAAACGAGGAGTTGACTTTATTATTTTAAAAGTTAAAAGGAATAACTTTTGAGTAGCGGCAACTTGACGTTTTGAGTTATCAAAACGTCAAGTTTCAAGTTGTTATCAACGAATGTTTCTTATTGGAAAATAATAATAAGACAATGACGGAATTCCATTTGACTTATGTAAATTAACGTTTTGTTTTTTTATAATTAAACACTGGGTTGCCTTAATGTTATAGCTATAATTTTTTTATAATAAACACTCAATTGACTACGATGGGCTCATTCATTCCAATGTTTTCGGCCATATTGTTTTCATGTGATGTGCGATCGCTTTGTTTATGTTTTCGTTTAAATTATTAGGAATTAGTTTTAAACATAAAGTTGCATAAATGTGTAGTAGTAGTTAAATATATGTGTAGGTGTGTATTTGTTTATCAGTGTCTACTATATTATTCGATTGTGAAGTTTGTGTTGATAATAGATAATTTTTTGTGTTTGTTGAAAGTTAAAAACAGTAAGTTTTCGCAAAAATGTGTCCTACAACGACTAGATTCAGGTAATGACCATAGGCAGTACTCAAGTTACGAGAATTGACCCAAGTCAAAGGTAGGTAATGTAAATATTATGTACTTTAATGGATCTTTTATTGATTTTCTTAAAACTTTAAAACTTCTAAAAACTTCTAAAAACTTAAAAATATCAACTTAGACTTCGGGTTGTACTGATTTACATAGTAATTTATTATTAATAATTATGTAATGTAATAACAAATGTACCGCTTATATAAATACTCGGCTCGGCCACAGCCGGCCGCGCTTGTTATTGTTTTGTTTGTTGGTAGGTACCTACGTTCTTAAATTCGTAATATATTATGATTTTGAATAGATTATCTAGCAATTCGATAATTGAATTTGGTTCATCAAATTTATGCTTCATTATTAGTATAATTAATAGATGTTCAATTTTATTATTTGTAAGTTTTGTTGGCTTATTCCATAGTTCACAAAAATACGCGAGATGTCAGTGTATGTAATTTGGCGACAGAATAAATCACAATATTCTTGAACGCACTTTTCAAAATGTATTCTGTACATGTAGGTATGTAGGTCTGTAGGGTACCTGTCTTGTGTGAGTATGATTGTCATTGTATGACCGGGGGGAGGGGTTTAATCATACGATATTTAATTGCCTACCCTGTCTCGAAAACCTGTGCACGCCACTGATAATTATACACATTTCACCTATAAAGATAATGGTTCTGTTAAAGAAGCTGTTATTTAGAGCATTGGGGTAATAATCGTAAGGCGACTGATTTATGAGACGCTTAGCAAAAGACTTTGCTAAGCGTCGTTGAATTAGAATGTCTATTCTATAATATTAAGAATAACAATATTAAGAATTAAATAAAATAATTTGGTACTAATATTGTGATTAGCTAACTAATGATTAGAATCATGGAAAAAAAACATAAATTACCAAAACTATCTAAATGCGTTAAAAATATAGTAGGTATTAAATAAATAAAAAAGTTATGTCTTGTTTAAAGCTGTAATTTGTTTAAAATATTCAAATTCTAACTCCTTCAATAATAGTAAGGAGATCCACAACCACAGGCACACTGTCCATTAATAGACACTGCACCAGCAGCTGGGATAGCACCACCGAAGCTCACAGCGCCCATGATGGGGACCTGACCACCGACGGCGGTAGTACCAGCGACTGGCAGCTCACCAGCGACCGCCACGTTGCCTTCACCAGCACCGCCGTAAGGAGCAGCACCAGGGTAGGCTAGACCTTCATAAGCTAAAGGAGAAGCCAGACCGAAGGGAGCGGCAATGCCAGGAGTAATCATATCAGGAACAGCAAGACCGGGAGCAATGAGGCCGTTGGCAGCCAGGCCGGGAGCAGCCCAACCATAAGGACCCGCCAAACCACGAGCAGCTAAACCAGGTGCGGCTAGACCGAAGGGAGCGTCAACAACAGCTGCGGGGCTGGTGCACTGACTGAACACATTCTGGAATAGAAAAAACATAACATACAACATAATATCACGCCTTTTATCTCCGAAGGCGTAGGCAGAGGTGTACATTATACTACTGTACAATATAACTCCCACTTTTCACTATTTATGTTATGAGTCCCATGTAATAGGGGGTGAGCCTATTACCATATACCGGGCACGGTTCCAGACTCCGTGCTACTACTGAGAGAATTTAAAAACCCGGTAATACTTTGCCCGACCCGGGAATCGAACCCGAGACCTCTAGCCAGCAGTCGCACTTACGACCACTCGGCCAACAAGGAATAGAAAAAAGAAACTATAATTAACAGTTCTTGTTAAATATAATGATGATAAAATGTATGAATATGACTCAATAGAATTAGTCTTACCTGGACCAAGCAAGCTTGGATGCAGAGGAACACAAAAGCGAAGGTAGACATGTTTGATATATCGAAGTTTGAAATCGAATGACTTTACGGGGCATTTGGTAAACTTTTATATGAAACTGATATCTTATCAGCATTTATTTTAACATACTGTCTCAGTATCATACTTTAGTTACAAAATTATAGGCCTTTATCGTTTTGTCGAAATATTTTGTGCCTATAACACATTTTTACTTGGAATATTGCTCAGTAGATGGGTATAAAAATATTAAATGTTTAGGAAGGATATCATTCAATTGTTTAAACTGGTTACAACTGGTTCTATTTTTTCAAAATGGCCGCTAAAGTTATCGTTCTTTTTTGTGCTCAAGCTCTCCTTATTCAGGTATTTATTTTGTTCCTTTTTTGTATTATTCTAAAGTTGGATTATCCGTGATTATAAAACCTCTAACTCGTTGATGTATTGTACAAACGGCCACTCATCAATCTATACAAAACCAGTTTATCCTGGTGTCGCGTCGCATCATCTTTCCGCACATTTAACGTTCAGTTTATACTGGTCATGTAAAGCTGGATGTGTAGCCGTGTGCACTATTAATACTATGTATCTGCACTATAATTACAAAAAATATTGCGAAATCGTTTATAAATTGGTATCTTAAAAATTGCTGCCTCATTGACCGAGTGGTCGCAAGTGCGACTGCAGGGCAATGGGTCTCGGGTTCGAACCCCGTGTCGGGCAAAGTATTACTGGGTTTGTAAAAACCTCAGTAGTAGCACGGAGTCTGGAAATGTGCCCGGTATATGGCAATAGGTTCACCCCCTATTACATGGGACTCTTAACGCAAATAGTGAAAAGTGGGTGTTACATTGTACAGTAGCATAATGTGCACCTCTGCCTACCACTTCGGGGATAAAAGGCGTGATGTTATATTATGTGTAAAAATTGCCTCCATCAACAAAAGTTCATAATATACCTAATAAATTCCAACTTGAATGACAGTTTTATCATTCCCAGCATTTCTTGTACAATTTTCAAAATCTCAAATTATTATCCTATGACATTTTACTAAGATTTTAACGCCTAAATTAAGGGTGTAATTTTTGTTGTATTCTTTTTTACTTTCGTTTTATTTAATAGTTTAGTTGTAGTTAATTTTAAGTTGTAAATATTTATGTAGTTATTAATTTCATTCATATCTTTGTTTATGATAAATAAATATATACGATTTTTATAACTTACATTTTACTAACATCAGTTTTTTTCATTGACAGTTCGCATTCAGCCAGTGTACAAACAGAGTACCAGTTGACGCGTCAGGCATTCCATACAACTCTGGATTTGGATGGATTGGTTCTGGTTGTGATGGATTTTCTGGCTACAATGGACTCGGATACCCAGGATGGACTGCTCCTGGATTGATTAACGATGGATTTTATTCACCTGCAATGGAATTTACTGCTACCAGTGGTGGAGCGTTACCAGTTACCAGTTCTTCATCAATGGCTCCCGTTGGAATCTCTATAGTTTCTGACAATATGTTTGAAGGGGCTCTGTCTGTCGCTGGACAGTTGCCTTTTGTAGGAACAACTGCTATGGAAGGTGTACTGCCGACCAGTGGAGCTGGAGCTATCAACCATGGTTGTGGTAACGGAGTTAATGCTATGGTGAGTTCAATGACCTCTATTTAACCTGATGATAGTATTTGTATTGGTAACTTAATTGAACCGTGCAGTCAAAATTACCAATTTAAAGAAAAAAATCCGAAATCAGGTTGGTGCGGTAGTTGGGCAACCGGCTGCCGTGCAACGTGTCGCGGGTTCGATTCCCGCACGGAACAACACTTTGTGTGATTCACAAATTGTTGTTTCGGGTCTGGGTCTGATGTGTATGTCAAATTGTATGTTTGTCAACGCACTCACGACACAGGAGAAAACCCTAGTGTGGGGCAACGTTTTTAAAAAAAACTAGCTGTTGTCCGCGACTTCGTTCGCGTGGAATAGTAAGTCACAGCTCCTACCCCGTAGGTGATAGCGTGATAATATGTACCCTATATGTTGACCTGACCTGTTAAAATATTCATGCAAAATTTGAAGTAAATCCATGTAGTACTTTTTGTAATTAGCCCTGACATACAGACAGACAAACAGACAAACAGACAAAAATTCTATTAACCATATTTTTGGTTTTGGTGCCGTTTGTAGCTCTTTCCTACGATTTTGTTATGTGTATAGATATAGATTATGTTGAACAACTGACGCGATTGCAAACTATATACATCGTTAAAACTAAACAAATAAACTACCTACTTTAATCATAATATACTACTATGGCAACGCTAGATCTTTATTTCCTTGTAAGTACAAAAATTAAGCTAAATAATTTTGTTTAAATTTCAGTCTGCTCTCAGTGCGACTTCAAGTCCCGCTTCAGTAGTGACTGACGCATACCCAGGTGCTCTCGCATATGATGGACTCTACGGAAACCGTATCACCCCAGGACTTGCATCACCAGCTCTGGCATATAGTGATGCTGTCTTACCAGGAAGAGTTTACAACGGTCTTGGATACAATTCTGCTGTAGATACCATCCACAGTCCAGGTATTGATGCCTTCGGATACCCATCTGCTGCAGATGCTCTTGAATTTACCCCAACCAGCGGTGGAGCCCTTCCAGTTTCCAGTGCATCTGCAATCCCTCCCACTGGGATTGCTGTATCTTCTGACAACGCTTATGAAGGATCTTTGGCTGTTGGCGGAGAGCTGCCGTTTGTGGGTACCGTCGCTATGGAAGGCGTGGTGCCCTCTGCCGGTGCTGGTGCTGTTAACCATGCCTGTGGTAATGGTAGAAACGCCATGGCGAGTGGCTCTGCTGCCTATGCTCCAGCTGCAGTGTCCCCGTTTACTGCTTACGGCCCTGCTCCTGGTTTTGCCCCAGGTTTCTCATACCCTGGTAAATTTGGATGTGGATTCTAAGAGTCCAGTCCAAAATGTTATTCAGTTTTTAATATATGAGTTTTATATGTAATAAAATGGTTTTAATTATTATTTACGATTTTTCTTTTCTGTGTCGTTTCCCTGGTGGAGTGCCGGTCAATGATTATCTAAAATATGATTTTAATTCATTGTGCCGTGTTAGGGTTTTCATTTTGAATACCTATAATGTTACATGTATGTATTAGTCTGTAATATCATCACTATTTAGTAAGTAGTGGCCACTGTACAATG